GTAAATCTCCTCAGTCCGAATTATATTTCTTACTCTATCTCAAGAGTGAACTTTAGTGAGAGAAAAATTGGATCCCCTCCTCTATCCAATATCATCATATTTATAGAGGAGGATTTGTGACCTTCCCCTGTTCATCCATGGACAAAATAGGAAGCTCGTGGGAAGGTCACTGTAGATAATGGGAACACTGTACAATCATAGAATTTAGCAACTATAGGCCAAGACATGTACTGTTCAATCAAAGACTAAAATGAATATTCTCAATCCAATCAACCCTGCAAAATGACAAACATCCCTTTCACTGTGTGCCTCGTGATGGATGAGCGGCGGGGTGTCCCCTTGACCTCTGACGTGGTTCACCATGCCTAAGAGACTGAACCAATGTTAGCCAAGTAAAGTGATATGACCGGTCACCTTCTCTCAAAAGTTACCCGGTCATTCTTTGTGCTCAACCCGTCTCTGGTCTTCTAGAATGTCCTTTGTAACATTAGGCGACATTTTGGCTATCGCCCAAAATGTGACCGGTCACTTTTTTAGTGGAAGTGACCGGTCAACTTTTGACCCGTCCCAATCGAAGAGTTAACCTCATTTGGTGATTGATAAAAGTGACCGGTCATATTTTGACCTGTCCCTTTCGGTTGTCCGGGTCGGGTATAGGGATATACCCATCAGAAATAAATGCATCATAAACTTTATTTGATGAGTAATGCTAGAGTCACAAACAAACAGTTCACAAAATTCACAAACTTGTCTTTTTAACATTTTTCTAGAAATAAGATGCACTCAAATAATAAAAAATATTTTAATTTAAAATCCACAAAAGGCAAATTTGTAAAGTTTGTGAACTATATGTTTGTGACTCTAGCATTTTCCACTTTATTTTAAAGTGAGCTCAAATAGTGTTGAACGATAGTATGTTATTCAACCCATTCCCCTATTTTGGGCCCAATATTATTTTTCAGCCTTAGGCGGGCCGGACTTTTTGTCGGAGTAGATCGGGATTCAAATAGTGCTGGGTCAAGCTCGATTGGATACTCTTTTTGTGTTCATTCACATTAATCTTTTTGAGTGAAACTAAAAAAAATTAATTTTTGATTACTATTAATTTATATTTTACATTAATATAATTGAATTAAACTTTGAAATCTTTCAACAAAATAAAGACATTGAAATTATTTATATACTAGTATACATTATACAGAATAATTTTTATTTAACTGAGGTCTAAAGTTTGTCTAAGTTGACTCGAAAAATTTAAACAAGACAAATACACTGAAACGGAGGTACTATTTTACTCGGACAATTTAACAAAGTATGTTTGGTTCCTTCTACCTTGGTTAAAGTCAATACATGTTCAAGAGTTAGAGCTTTTCTCATACTGTTTTTTCTGTGGTGCATTTGGTTATGCCATTGTTGATTACTTTCGTGCTAGGTAGATGTTCTAATGCCGGGTCGGTTCATGTAATATTGGAGTTATATTATAGCATGATTCGGAGCATTTATGGCTCCGTTCAAAAAATTAATGCTTCCTTTCTCTAAACCTCTCTGCCGCCCTCCACCCCCTCCTCCTCCATTTCCTCGATGACAAATAACTCTAAATATGACTAAAATAAAGACAAAGTACTAAAATTTCATATGTATATATTCTCAAAACAGAAGTTTGTATTATGATAATGTAGCAATGTATGTAGATATTTAACAATACGTTTTGGTACTCCCTTCGTCTCAATTTACATTGCTTGTTTACTATCCACAAGGTTAAATTTCATTCACTTCCTCTGTTTTCGTTAGTCATTTGATAAAGTAAAATAGTCATGTCACCACTAGTTTTGTAGATCTTTCGATTTAGTATTTTAATATGTAATTTTTATTTTTTAGTTCGAAACCATTTTTCATATAAAATAATTTAAAAATAATTTTAGTTAAACATCGTACACCAAAATACACAATATAAATTGGGACGGATGAAGTATTATATATTGGCAGACATTCTATTTACCGTGAAACTTTTATTTTGGTAGATTTTCTAAACTTTATTTGTAGTTTAGTCTTTTTCCCTTTGTCGGTCGGCTAAAATGGTGACTGTAATCAATAAGTGAAGGGGTGGTTAGAGGGAAGGAGTGATTAGGGGGAAGAACCATCAATTTTTTCTATATTGAACACGAGAGGTGTTATGAATTTATGATCATGCTATGATATTTATTAGACTCCAACATCTCATGAACCGTAGTGTTCTAATATACGGAGAAATAAATGTTTTCATAACCTGCTAACTTGTATTTTTGCATATTATTTTTTAATTCTGCATCAATTTTCATTTAAAATAATTTGAAAAATAATTTTAGTGAAATATCGTAAATCGAAACAGACAATTTATAATAGGACGGAGGATGTAATATTCCACTAAAATTGTACAATCTAAAATTTTATTTAGATGTAAAATTATTCTTCTTAAGAATAATTTTAAGAATAATTTTATTTTATATCACATAATCAGCGATGTAAAATTATTCTTCTTAAGAATAATTTTATTTTATATCACATAATCAGTGTGCATTATCATTCGTGAATCCGTCAGGTTGCAACTTGTCTTTGGATTTGTTTGGAAAATAACTTAAAGATGTCTTTTGCTCTCTTTGACTGATTTCAGTTTTTTGATCAATTAAACAGCCAAAATCCTTATTTGGCTAATGACTTTTTTCATTTAGGGGCTGTTTGTTTCAGTCTCTTAATGATTCAGATGTCTGAATGGTTCAGCACTTAATAATTCAGACTGTTTGTTTCAGCCTCTTAATGGTTCAGATGTCTGAATGGTTAAGAGATTTGTCTCTAAATGGTTAAGTATTATACAGAGACTGAATGGTTAAGACCTCTTATCTGAATTGATCAAACATTTGCCTTTGAATAGTTAAGCAATATACTAGCTTTTAATGGTTCAAACATCTTACTGATTCAGCACTTAATGGTTCAGACCTCTTACTGATTCAGCACTTACCTATTCAGAAGTTGCCAAACATCTTAGAGGGACGGAGGGAGTATTAAAAACTACTAGGGGGACGGAAGGAGTATTAAAATATACAAAATTCACATGTCTTCAAAATGAATTAACCGGGAGATACACCAACATGGGGTACCTCATATGTACACCAAGCCAACACAAACACAAAATGTCTATGCAGTATAGACATTTTGTGTCTGTGTGTGTTTGTGTTGGTTTTGTGTAGATATGAGACACCCCACGTTGGTGTACATCTAGCATTTACCCCTTCAAAATTTATTCTCTTTTGGTTAACATAAATAAAAATAGTAATGAAACACTTTTTTGAATAAATTGAATCGTTTTTGGACCATCATGGATGTATGTGATGAGTGATGACTATTTTTCGGGAAATCCTTTATATATATAAAGGAGAGTCGGAGCTATAAGAACGTGACATTTGGCAGAGCTAAAGCACGACATGTGGCGAGCTGATGTGGTGACATTTGGCAAAGTTAAAGCGCGGACATGTGGCGAGCTAATATGTCACCCTTTTAGACAAACCGATCGGTTTGACCGGTTAGACCAGTTCTTTTTTTGCAATTTTTTTCCAAAAGCATACCACCATGGGGTTTGAAACAAGGATCTCTTAATCATTTAGTTGAGTTGCTAACCATGCAAGCTAAGGTGTTTTTTGTTACAATCTCACTTAAGCTTTAGTAATGTTTCATAATTAAAAAAGGATTGTATAAAAATTTCTTTTTAGTTATAACAAAATATAATCTTTTAATATAATATTTAAGACTCCGTTTGCTAAAAAGTCGCTAAAAGACAAGCTTATGTGGGTTATATTAAGGTGAGATGGCAAGTCTTTATTGGTTGCTTATGTGGCAAATTTTATTAATGATGAATTGACCTTTCTTTTTATTTTAAAATAGAAATTTAATAATGATTTTAAATTTTGGAAAAATTTTACGTTAAAAGATTTAGTAGAAATAAAGAATTCACTACTTCGTGACATTAGTTGAGTATTTATATTTTTATTTTTAAAAAGCAATTCATCTATTTATTTGTTATGATGTGATAAAATTAATTATGTTATAAAATCAAATTTGTGAAAGATAAATGTAGTATTGTCCGAAATAAAATTTTTAAAGGAAAACAATTATATAAAATATAATTTTATGATAAAAATTATTATGATGTAGCAAACAATTAGTGAAAATATAAAATTGGTATTATCACTTACCATTTCAAGACTAGCATTTTTTATGAATCAAATTTTTAACTAAGTGCATACACAAAAAACAAAATTTTGATAATGATATATTCTCATTTAAGAGTATTCTTATAGAAAAGGATCAAATAAGTTTATAATTGATCCTTTATTTATAAAATTGATATTTTAATCTTTAAGAAG